GGTGAGCAATTGCATTGTGCATCACTTGCTTTGTATATTCTTTTATTATTATTATTTTATTTCAATTATTAAACTGTTCTTATCTCAACCCACAAGTTTTCTCACTTTTACTCTTCCAATTCTCTCCCCCATCCCACTGAGGAGTGGGGGGAGAGTGAGCGAGCGGCTGTGTGGTGCTCAGTTGCCGGCTGAGGTTAAACCACGACACTTGTTCAGGTGATATCCAGAGCAAAATGAATGCTTTAATAAGTAAAAGATGGCCATTGTTTCATTATCTTGACTGAAATGAAACTTTTTTAAAATTCAACTACCAATCATTGAAAGATATTAAGAATTGTCAAAATGGGGAAACTTCTAACAGCTTTGATAAATAGGCAGGATACTAAAAGAAAACACAGGCCAGTGATCATGAACCTGTAAGTGGTTAATGTTTATAAATAAGCTTATCAACCTGTGACAGGATCTAGAGAACAGGACACTTGTTTTCTAAAATTCTACCAACATTGACCAAATTCCAATCAACAATCTCAAATTACCTTATCCTATAAGAGGATAGATATAACAAGTGTTACATAGATGAGCAAACTAGGTTTATGATAGAGCTTTTAAAACAAGAATTCTAAATTGCAAGAAGTTCCTAATTCTATCAGTATAATATAACTGTATTTGACAAAGTATTAACTAAATTGCCAACTTTTTCCCCCAAAACATGTGGGGTAGTTTCTTCTGACAGATTTTTGATTCCAAGGTTATTTTAATACAAATTTTTAATATCAAGGCCTTTGACTCTTAAAGCAATATTACATTCATATTTTTCCTCTCAATAAATATTTTTCTGTAATTCTACTTAAAGAAAAAAGAACAAACAGTAATAAATAAATTTTAACATTTAGTATTTGATGAACCCATGCTTCACATCACAAATAAGAATTGAGTCTACAATCAGACAAGAGAACATGCATCTGATCCTTACCAGTTCTTTCATAATAAACATGTTTTATGATTGGGCTTTCTCTTAACTTTAGATGTTCAGAAATAAAATACTAAGACGACACACAGTTCAACCTTACAGATGATAATACTTCTACAGCAAATATAATACTAGTAAGTCCCTACAAAAGCTTACACACACCACAGTTGTTTTCATCTAGTCAGCATTTGCTATATTCTAAGCAGCCATGGTAGAATACTAAAAAAATCATAAACTAAAAGATTTGACCAGATACTACCAGTATCCGATCTCAAATTTGACCAGATAACAGAAACCCAATAGAACATGTGATTCATGTCATTTTCTTCTCAAACAAAATCTTATCTGTAAGAACACAATGTACAAATAAGAAAAAGTAAGATTGCTGCACTAGATCCCAGACTGACAAAAAAAGAAAACAGCAAGACAGGTTAGGTGGCCTCCAAATGTGGTGCTGTGAGGTATACAAATGGTACACATTAACGTTAGTACCAAAACCAGTTTCCTATCACAGAAATTATGCAATGGAAGCGGTAAAAACACTGGGTAATTATGAATAATGCTTCAAGGCCCTGGCTAAGAAAAGCAGGCACAGAGAGCTAGCAGAGACTTATAAAACCTTTACAAAAATTGCTAGTCCAAATTTGAGCAAGAGCATTTCTCCCCATCTGAACATTCAATTACCTCAAGTACCATCAGCATAATATTAACAGCTTTTAGAAAGCAATCTATCTGCCGTCTCAACATTTTTGAAACCCAGCTTTACAGACTTCATAGATACAGAATCAAAGAATGGTTGAGGTTGGAAGGGACCTCCGGAGGTTATCTTGCCCAATTCCCTTGTTCAAGCAGGGTCACCTAGAGCTAGTTGCTCAGGAACATGTCGAGACAGATTTTGAGTATCTCCAAGGATGAAGACTCCACAACCTCCCTGGGCAACCTGTGCCAGTGCTCAGCACAGCACCCTCACAGCAAAAAAGTGTTTCCTGATGTTCAGGCATGACCACCTGTGTTTCAGTTTGTGCCCATTTGCCTCTGCTCCTGTCACTGGGCACCACTGAAAAGAGCCTGGCTCTGTCCTCTCCGCACCCTCCCTTCAGGTATTTATATAAATTGATGAGATCCGCCCTGAGACTTCTCTTCTCCAGGCTGAACAGTCCCAGCTCTTTCAGCCTTTCCCCATATGAGAGATGCTCCAGTTCATCATCTTCATAGCCCTTCACTGGACTCTCTCTGGTATGTCCATGTCACTCTTCTCCTGGGGAGCCCAGAACCGAACACAGTACTCCAGGTGTGGCCTCAGCAGTGCTGAGTAGAGGGGATAGATCACCTCCCTCGACCTGCTGGCAACACTTTGTCTAATGCAATAAGGGCACATTGCTGGCTTATGTTCAACTTGGTGTCCACCAGGACACCCTGGTCCTTTTCTGCCAAGCTGCTTTCCAGCTGGTCAGCCCCCAGTATATATTGGTGCATGGGGTTATTCCTCCCCAGGGGCAGGACTTTGCACTTCTCCTTGTTGAACTTTGTGTGGTTCCTGTCAGGCCATTTCTCCAGCCTGTTGAGGTCCCTCTGGATGGTAGCACAATCCTCTAGTGTATCAGCCACTCCTCCCAGTTGGGTATCAGCAGCAAACTTGCTGAGGGTACACTCTGCCCCATCATCCAGATCATTAATGAAGATGTTGAACAAGACTGGACGCAGTATTGACCCCTGGGGTACACTGCTAGTTACTGGCCTCCAACTAGACTTTGTGCCACTGATCACCACCCTCTGGGCCCGCCTATTCAGACAGTTTTCAATCCACCTCACTGTCTGCTCATCCAGCCCATACATCAACAGCTTCTTTATGAGGATCTTATGGGAGACAGTGTCAAAGGCCTTACTGAAGTCTAGTTAGACAGTATCCACTGTTCTGCCTTTATCTACCTGGCCAGTCATTTCATCATAGAAATTTATCAAGCTGGTCAAGCATGACTTCCCATTGGTGAAGCCAAGCTGACTACTCATGATATGATTTTCTTGTCTTTCATATGCCTGGAAAGTATTTCCAGGATTAGCTGCTCCACCACCTTCCCAGGGATTGAGGTGTGGCTGACTGGCCTGGCATTCTCTGGGTCCTATGCTTCTTGACCTTGTTGAAGACAGGAGTGACATTTGCTTTCCTCCAGTCTTTGGTCACTTCTCCAAGTTACCATGATCGATCAAAGATTATCAGGAGTGACATCACAATGACATCAGCCAGCTCCCTCAACACTCATGGATGCATCCCATCAAAGCCCATGGACATACGTATGCCCATTTTGCTTAAGTATTTCCTGACCTGATCCTCTTCCACCAAGGGTACACTTTACTTGCTCCAGACTTTTCCCCAGTAGCTGGGACCTGGGATTCCTGAAGGCTGGTCTTGCTAGTAAAGACTGAGGCAAAGGTGTCATTTAGTACCTCAGCCTTTTCCATGTCCTGTGTAACCATG